TAGTTGGTATGTTTAATATGAGCTAGCTGGTATGTGTATGCGCAGTTATTATGATAACATTGAATCCCTTGTATTTTTCCCTTGAATACACAGGGCCAGGGATAAAACGTAAACTGTTTGACTGTTTTCACTGCAATGCGCACCGTCGATATACCGTTGTGTTCAAAATACAGTGTATTTCATTCAAACAGATTGAAAATCCAAGGGTTTAAGTTGCCGTAAATCTTAAACTTAACTCGGAAACTTAAAGTACCGTCTAGCGCTTGCACAATTAAATACTGCAGGTAAAACGGCGATTGTTTTAATATTACTGTAGGTTATCGAATCGATGCGCTGAGGTATACGTCACTAGTCGCGTGTATTTATTCAAACCATCACTTAAACACGTGTTAGAGAAATGATCGTCACTGGTCAGAATAATTGCGCCATGCGTAAAGGTTAATCAAATGCAACGCAAAATTCTTCCACAATATCTGTGCATTCTCACGAGCAAAGAAGTCTTTAAAGCAGCACCATTAGACGGCCTTCCGGCACACTTTCCCGCAGATGTCTGCGTTCTTGTACACTTTACAGCATTTCTCCCCTCTTTTGCAGTTTGAATCGCTTGTGCAGGTGCTTTTCTTCTGACCATCGACAATCACAAATCCCCTGCCGCAGATAACCGGTCCCGGTCCACTACGATCCAGAAACTTTGGCAAATCAATCAGTCCCGGGCATTTACCGGCGTCCACCGTAGCGGCCACAACCAGTAGAAGCAGCAGACAGCCTGTGCAGATAGTCTTATGATCATGCATTTTTACAGAACAACGATTCCGAAAGTCAGGCAGAAATAATTCGGAGTTCATACAAATAATCGACTACAGACTCGGTCTTTACTGAAACAAACAGGTGAAAACAGTCAGTAACAACGTTGTTCGCTTGCAAGTTGCAATATAGAGAATATATCACTGGCAGGCAACCTCTGTTTTTGTTTTTGATAATCCATTTACGAGCTTCTCTCTGTTATTGGTAACTCACTGAGCACAATATGGAATTTCCGTGTTTTTACACGTTTATATAGTTTGTTTGCTAACCGGGTTTCTGTATTTAACCGTATGTTTACTATTGTCGTGTGATAATTGCTTTATTACTTGAAATAATTTGTAAACATGTTGTTCCCAATGTTTCTTGTTAAAAGGTTTTTTACCAATACTTTGCGCAACTCAGAAAAACGCCACAAGGTGCACTAATAAACTTGCAGTAATTTCACGCATATACAGATAGGTATAGCGGCTACAGTAAGTATCTAAACACTGCAGTTGCAATCATTACAAGATAAAGCACTGAAAACGAGATTTTCTGACATTAAATGCAGCTTCAGTCTGCTCACATATCAGTAATCGTGCTAGCATAACAGTGCAGTTTTATGCACTTACCATTCGAAACCGTTACCTTCGAAATTTCAGCAAACTGCCAGCAGGGAATAGCGTACGGGAGTTCTTGTCGGGTATTAGCGTCTGTTTTCTGAAAGCGCCAGCTGGTTTCAAAGCGACGCCCGCCGGGATTTAACCACAGTGCGGCTTCCGTGCTGGGGACGATAAAAGGAGCGGATAAATTAGAAGAAATTTTGCTGTTGTAATTCTGTTTTTGTTGCCAATCCATGTATTCTAACTGACTTGTGCTAATAAACCACAGTCCGGCAGATGTTGCCTTTGAAACCACGTGCCAGCAGCTAACTACATGGGCCATATCAATGTGTTACTTGTAGCCCGCAATTCAAGGACAAAACGGAAACTGTCCAGCTGACTTCTAAATGTTGTTGTCGTCATTAATAAATTATTTAACTGTACTTAAGTCCGAATCTGTCCGACTGTCCGGGATATAAAAAACAGTGGACAAACGATGTTAGTATATGCAAACGTTCCAACCGAGCAATGGTTATAGACAAAACGTCCTAACCGAGCAATGGTATCATGAAAATGAAACAGGCATTAAGATACTCCCCCAAGATCATATTTTTGGTGAGAAGTTCGCTTCAACCGATATAACGCTGCAAGCCCTATACAACTGTAATACATTATCACAGCTGTCATTGTAAAGGACATGTTTTTTTGTGACAAATTGTGACACTGTCAACAGTTAAGAATATCTAGATTGTGCGAGAACAAAAGTTTTTCATGAAGAAATAATTTGGTGGCACTACACAGTCTTCATATTATCATAACATTTATGCACTTAACTGAATTACTTGCGTCACAAATCTTGACAAGGTTGTTCAACAAGTCATCTAATTATCGTTTTTTTATAAATTACTGAAAATAACTTCGATAGCATCCTGTATGCCGAAAGGTAGCTACAAGAACCGGAAGCAATGTTGCGCAGGATTATTTTAAGTGTCCGCACTCCCGGCCTGACGGAGGTCGGTTTTACGATAAACGAATAAATTCTGGTTGCATATCTTAAATCATTATAAATAAAGGTGGTTTTGGCAGCAGAGTACAGATACAAGTGGTCTTTTCGGAATTTTGCTAATGAGAGTATGACATGCGGCTAGACACTAGATCAGAATCCCACCGTTTTTCTCAGATTATAGCCGTAATGAACACAAAGTTATTGCTTGTACAGAGTATACCAGCGACCACACACCCGCCAGTATAAGAGACACATGCACTATTAATATTTGGAAGGATCGTATTCGTTTACACGTTGCATATCCACATGACGAGAAAAAGCTAACACAGTGTGTTAGCTGCATCGTAAAATCACATACAAAATAATTTCGAAGCCAACGTGGCGACTGGCGATATTAAATTTTGTGCTGCTGCTGTTGGCAGGCACACACGAAAGTACCGCAAGACAACAACAAATTAACCACTGCCAAATAAAACGCGGGGAAACAAGTTTTTACGGCTTTAGTTTTAAACGCGGCATCGGCACAGCCACCAGTCATAGCCACTGTCGCCACTGTCTGTGCTTGCGCTCATGGTCAGTAGTATCAGGCTAATTTCTTTCTGTAATGTACAGATGCAGTGTACATAGACACATTTTGAGATTCCCTGGGATCACGATTTAAGTCAAAGCAAAGACAACCGGAAATTATCAATTCTGGCATGTTAACACAATTTCTTGCGTGAATCCCTGCTGGTTTCGAAAATCTCAACTGTAGGGCTGCCTTTAACCGGCAGTCCTACCGACGAAGCATCCGCAACACAGGTTGCACGATCTACATCCAGGACAAACCGGGATCGTACGGTTGGGTGTTCGGCGTGGCAGCCGCCTTTGTAGGTGGTAATCGGAAGCCTAGTCCGCCAAAGTACCTTTCTGCGTCTCTGTCTGCTGGTTTCGAAAAGCAACGTCAGCCGGACTGCCGTGGACCGGCAGCCCGTCGGATGTGGCATCCGAAATACAGTCTGTACAGGTTATACGATGGAATCACTACCGCGTTGCTACTGGAGCACAAATGGGGTCCGCACGGCACGATTTCTGGGCAGTGCAGTGGTCGTCAAAGTGGTCGTAACTACTGTAATTCCGGGTAAATTTTGTGGAAAAAAAATGAGGACGAAAAATATACGGAAATGCTAAGTACGCTTCTTTCGTTTTCATATAAACCCGCACCGTGAGGGAGCACGTACTCCCTCGGAACACTGGTTTTGTGAAAACAAACGAGCAGACATAATGCATAGCGCCCAGCCGCATGCTTGTGCCTAAAATTTGGTGTAAAATTTAATCATCTTATAATACAAGTATGTATGTACAAATAACGACGAAGAATCCATCCAACAATTATGACATAGCGGAGTATTTCTGTATGACGGATAAATTAACCGACTTGTTCAGTCAGACGTACAGGTGATCGCAACTCGCAAGTACTGTATGTATAGAAGTACAGATGGTGAGTGCGAAGCGCCACAGGCACACAAGCACGCTTTATACGCATTTTTTGCTGCGATTTTACGTACCGTACATGTGTTAAATTTCCGGATGGGTTTGTACTCGTATGAAGGCTATTTATTAATAATAATATAAAACTGGTTTTGACTGTCGAGTACTCTTGCTGTTTATCAGACGGAATACAGTACGTGTAAAGGGTATGGGATTGAGCCACCTGTTAGTTACTTTAAGCGAATTAACACTGTGAGCAGAATTAAGTGTAATGTCGAGCTTCGGTCGTTTGGCGGCAAACTTCCAAATACAAAAAATGTTAATTTTAGATTTTGCGAAAATAAAAGCCTTTGATTGATAAATATTATATGGATAACGCCGGATGCCAGAAAGAAATTGTCAGCGATTTACCTTGCAAATACATATCTAGTACGAGGTTGCAGTTCGCAGTCACATTTGGAATACTATATAGTACCGATAATCGCATGAATAGCACGATGGAAAACTGATACATGGCCACGTAGAAAGCTTATGAACACCGCGGAAGCGGCATGACGCAACTACTGTATTCCAGGTATCCACACACCCTGTGGAAATCATTCTCATGGGAACAACAAAACTATCGAAATTTGGAAAACCAGAAAAGTATAAAGTCAGTTTGGGTATCAGTGCCCTATTTTTGTCATAAGCCAGTTTCTTTGGAAATCTGTTAGTAAGCGCACGGAAACGTGATGAGAAACATGAGGATAGACACAAAACCAGAATGCAACGATTTCTCTCCGATTGTGAAAATATATTTTTATAACATAGCTAAAGCCACGACACGAGCCGATTGATGGGTACTTCGCTTTGCCCATTATTTCAATCAGTACCGCTTTAGGGATCAATATATTAATCACTTTACCGAATTGAGAGCCTTTGTGGCGGGCGGCTACATGAACAACCACGGCTGACTGAAATGCAGTCTATGCATTACCATTCAGTCTATGCAGCCTAAGCAACTTATCAGTGTGCAATCTATGCAGTAAGACCAGCACTGCATCTATGCAGTAAAAGTGATTAATATATTGATCCCTAAAGCGGTACTGATTAAAATAATGGGCAAAGCGAAGTATAAATAAAATGCGTTACCGTATGCACACATGTACAATACTTTGCTTGAAGTGCCACCTTTTCGGTTCTTTTACATATCCGAAGAAACACGAAAACGCTCGTAACCGCAGTGTAGAACTAGACAGAAGACATAACGCACAGGATATTAACGACAGAGACGTTTTTAGTTACGAGTTCCATCAATATCCGCTGGCATCAGCAAAATAAATCAAAAGGATGAAAAGTCGTACTTACTGTACGTGCACCATGCAGTAGTCTTGACAGTATGAAAAAGGATATTGATCCTCGGAGTATCAACGTAGAAGAATGTGTCGTGACTACAGCATTAGACAAAAAATATAACAAAATTCAGTTCGTATCCACGGCCGCCAGAGAACATTAATTTCGTAAAATGCACGGACAGCCGCTTTCAGCTATTTTTACTGGAACGATAAAGCAAGCGTAAACGATTTAATAATTACCGTGAATGGATGTTTAAGGGGTTGATAACTTGGTGGTACCGCAGTAGAAAAGGGAATGATTTCTGCGGTCCCTTTAGTCGGCATGTGGTCGAGGATCCCTCTTGGGCTTCATGGTAAATTGTACGACAACTGTAGCAACGAAATGCATATCAATTCAGTACAGAAACTAAGATATTGAATATGGTAACATTCATAAATTACAATTTAAAGTATCCGACTCAGAATAAGATTGCGGATATTCAAGAAAGCCAGCCCCGACACACTTACCTTTTCCCATATAAATAATACAAATGATGAGGATAATAATCACATATAAAAATCGGTAAATTTTCGAGTTATCGGATTCCGGAGCCTCCTCATTGCGATCTTCCTGCTGAGCCGAATCCTTGGGAACCACAAACCAGCCATCCGCCTCCATTGGTGTCTGATCAGACTGCAGCTGAATAGTTGGTCGACGTGTCTGGATAAATCTGGGATCCTTCGCTAAAACAGCGTAACTCCATACTGCTCCGCTAAAATACTCATTGTTATTATTAGTACTATTCGTAGTGCTTGTTAGCCAGCAAGATATATCGTATAGTTATATAGCTTTGCAAACATTGTCCCTAGACGTTCGGTCCCAGATTTTATGGAGGATACGGAAAACCGCTGCTACCACACTAGCAAATACTAGTATGTACATGTATATTGATACATGTACATGTACAATATTGTATCATATCGAACGATGCACGAGCTTTATCGATTTTTCGCTAAGGTATTGCACGCCGTACAAACCCCGCAGTGCAAGGCTGCAAGCAGACTGGGAACTGGGAGCCAGGGATAAATGGCCTCTGTGTGCGAATGTAAAAGAGATAAGCTACATTGTATGCGTTATGAAGCCTCTGTGTTTGTAAGCGTTACGCGCTGTGCAGAGATTTGATAACCTCCCAATCATTCGCTCGATCATTGTGAAAAAAAATAGGCAACCATAAATCACTGCTTCAAGAAAGCAACAGTTAATTTACATGTTTTCATCAAGCAGCATTCCATAAAAGAGATGGACCAACACAATTATCAAATACAAACACCGTGTACCCATGTAGCGGTTCCGTGTTAGCATATAAAATGTAGGCGTGCTGCTACCCTGGCAATGCACTAGAAAGCTTTTCCGGCTTCTGGCATATAGATCCACAGAGGTAGGTTGTCTTTGTAGATCTGCAGCACTTTTCACCTTTATAGCATCTAGAGTCGCCTTTGCAGACGTTTGGTCGCCCAGTAGGGGTATGGACACATGTTGGGCCACATAGTGCCGGTCCGTGGCCGCGACGTTCGCCGTGTGGCAGGTGAGCCATTGGCTGATCAATTTCTCTGGACTTTCCCCCGTTCCCCGTCAGCCGCTTCCAGGGTAAAGACAAATAATCCAGCCACCAAGCAGACAGTTCGCTCGCTGTCTTCTTGGTGGCTGGGTTGTTTGTTGAGGGATACGTTTTAAGTCTAAAATTGAGTCGGTTTGAAATGAGGTACAGCAACCGAAAAGTAGTTCGAGGAAATAATAAAATATGTTTTATTTCGTTGCATGATCTGGAACATTCAATTTTCGGCCTGCAGTTTTGTATATAGCGCTCACTGCGTGGTTAAAACTGCTTTCTACCTTCGTGCGTCTATATCGCAGCATTAAAAAAGATAACATAATTGCGCCAAAATGCACTTCACATAAATGCGCTTGCAGAGATCGGGTGGATCATCGCGGCGATCAGGGTCGAAGCCGCCAATAGCGCGAGCCGGAAACCAATTGACGAAGGGCAGGTAGCGATCATAAAAGCATGCTTGCTTTGAATGAAGTGCAAACATAACTGGAATCTTTCGAGTCTCTCGAAATAATGAGCGATCGGACGGTTTGACATTCGTTTCATCAGAGCGAGGAAAATCGCTGGCATGGTCACTTGGGATACGACCTCCCAAGCGCCATGGCCATGTAGTACATAGCAACGGATTCCCTTTGCGCCAGTGTAACAGCAGCCGGAGACAGGGAGGGATAATACAGAGAATACCGTTATATTTCTTAGGAATGTTCGTTTAGTCGGCTTCGAGGACAGTAAATCGGGGTTGGTGGTCCATGGGGATCGAAAACTGCACGGTAAGGCAACTGAAGGCTGAGAGAAGAACCCACTGGCGACAGGGAAAGCCACACGAATCAGCATAAAGTTATCAGCATTTGCCAAAACGAATGAAACATAAAAGTACATACTGTTCAAAGGAACAGCACATACTGTTCAACCCTACGCGCATCAACTTATCCATCATTATGTTGCAAAATGACAACGGTTCGGAGAATTCGTTGCTTTTATTGCCTGCACCAATCCAATAGTGCTCGTTCGAAAAATCAACATTTACAACTTTTCGTTCAAGCGACACTCGTGAAAACCAAAAAATTATACCATCACTGAATATAAACAGCATGTATTGTACACAATTCAGCTTACAAGGTTTTCAAAACATGAAAAGCTGGAATGCTTCGCATAACATGCTAACATATAAGATTATTCCGTCTTCCGGCACACGGATCCACAGAGGTTATTTTTGTAGACTTGACAGCACTTTTCGCCCTTGGAACAGCTGGAATCTCCTTTGCACACGTTTTGTCTTTTCCCCTCGACCATGACGAAACTGCCGCCGCACAATACCGGTCCATGTCCATGTTCCCCGGCTGGTTTATGGGCCCATGGTGCATCCACTTGCGCTGGACACTTCCCGGCAGCGTCCACGGAATAGACGAATAATCCTGCAGCCACGAGGCAGACAGCAACGATCATTGAGGACTGCATTGTTTTCGAGCTAAAGGGAGCTGGTTTAAAATGACGCCAAATCGTCAAAAAAATTAATCGAAATGAGCAACTGAGGGAGATCCGTTTCAGTTGAGTATAATAAAAGTGACAGATACTCCAACTGCATTATATAGTGTTCTGCTAACACCGCCGACTGTTTTTCTCAACACGGTGTTTCCGTGTTTTTGTTGTTATGAGCTAACCGGCTTTGGTGGGTTTTGTTATTTGTACAAGTTTCTAGGTAACAGCTCATTCACAATTCAGTGCGTGGTAAAGTTGTTTACCTGGCGACCACGCTGCTGCAAAGGTACGCACACGGAATTTCCGAAGTATTATATTTCTGATAAAATATTTACGAAATGCAGCGTCATGGTTAATTAAGTATTGCACTCGGTCTTGCGTTGTTATCGAAAACAGTTAATGATCATTATGTTGTTTGTTGTTGAATAGCGAATAATTTACAGCGTGTTGTAAAGTTATCGTTCTCATAAGCTGTCATATTATATTTTGCTTCGGCTGCTGCAACAGTAACGAGTTGACCGATCATCCACAGCTAGATCCTCCCGCTGTTCACCAGATGGAAGCATCAGGAAGCCACCTGGCTATATAAAATCTGGCACCCTACGACATTCCATGTCCCGACGTACATCGCGGAAATGATTGTGTTGGACGAGCAAAAGAAGCCGTACAGCTTGCGACACGTTAGCCGCCCAACCATCAAAACACATGCGGCGACGAAAACTGGAGAAGCAACGCTCGCATGGAGGCTAAATAAGCTGCTGAATAAAATTTACTGCTGTAGTAGTGATGTATTGAACTTACGTTCTCTAACTTGTTTTAAGGCCGCTTTGTTCTATGCTAGCTTCCTATAAATTCTTGTATAATTATTTGATTCTGATCTTCTGATTGCGTTTCTTGATGTTCAGCCAGGTTTAAAATCCCATGCTAGACTGTCAACCTAGCCGGATATGGGCTACCTGGTCTGATTGCGATTAAATTAAATTAGACTCTTAAGCTAGACTCTGAAGCTCTTAATACTATTACAGCAACAATAATTCCGTTAATTCATCTAATGACCTGGGTGAATCCGTACATCGCACTGTAAACAGTCGAGAATTCGAATGTATGCAAATTTCAATGTATGTCTTCCAGTGTATGTATAGTTTATGTATCGTATATTTAAAATTCACACATTACGTAAACGCACAAAAACTGTCAAAATTGTGCAAGAAAAATGCAGTCGCTAGTGAAAGGCATATAACAAAGAGTAAACGAATTCTAGATCGAGAAAAATATTGATTTTGATGGTTTTTTGGCAGTTGCATTCGTTTATGTTAATGTGCATCAATGTTAAAGTACTCATAGCAGCACGCAAAATTTTAAATTTTCACATCGACACAAGTAGCACAACGAAATTGTCTTGATGGATAGTTTTTTATCTGTTTATGGGTATTTAAATCACCTTTCAGACAAGCCCACAGCACACGACTAACAAGCCCACATCTGTACATCAACTGCAGTTTAGGCCCCAGAAGGAATGCTGCTCTCAATTAATTGCTTATTAAAAGTCACAAAACAACTTTAGAAAAATCATAGCAACAAATGTATCTATCAGCAGGTTCGTACCGCGCTAAAGCATTTATGAAGCGTTGAGTATTTCTCAAAAGAAAGTTCATAAAATTAATATAATTACGGAAGGATCAGTACACGCTTTCGGCAGACACGCCCGCATATATCGCCCTTATAGACTTTGCAGCACTTTTCATCTTGCCGGCACACGGCATCTTCCGTGCAGACGTCTTTCTTCTTGCCATGGACCATGACGAAACTGCCACCGCCGCAGAGAACCGGTCCGTGCCCATGCTCCGCTGGAGACTTATGTTCAAATGGCGGGTCGATCAGGGCGGGGCATTTGCCGGGATTGGCGTCACCGACACAGCTGATGGTGGTCACCGACACAGCAACAATAACGCACACGGTAAAAATAATGGGGCGAAACATTTTTCGACTGGAGAAGATACACGTGTAGTGTTGAGCACTCGAATTGAAAATATAAATTGCACTTGTAAGACTTAGAATTAAAAAGTTACCCTTTGTTAAGAGAATCACGATGTTGGGGACAACGAAAGACAGTCATCCCTTAATTAACAGTCGTCCTGCTTTGTGATCGAAGATTTTATAGGGGTTGGTTAAATGCGCAGTCTGCATACTTTCTGTTGCAGCTCTTCGGTGCAGGATTGAAATGCTCGTGTTATTCTATGAAACTGTCAATCATTCATAAATTCGGCTGGACGTGTCATCCGTGCATTGTCTATTGCACAGACTGAATCAGCATTTTGTGGTCGTGGCCAGTTTTTTTCTCGACGATCATACCCGGATTGGGTGAATGGTTTGTATCAAAACCATTGCGCCATGTTCTGCACATACAGAAGATGGCGCAATAAGAATAATGCAATAACCATGTTGTATCGGAATACCAAGCAGATACGTATGAACCTGCCCATGTTGGATTTAACTTGACCAATGGATTGCAACGCAGTACTGTATTCCTCTCACCAACTCAAAAAGAATGCAACCGTTAATTTTTTGAGAACTTTGTCCGATACTTTCTCGAACTGCTTATTAGATTGAGCATGACCCTTTTAAGTCTGGTTTTCTACTTAATGCGAAAGGAAAAATGGATCTCTGAGTTCCAACGACATCATCTACCTGAAAATTTGCAAGATGCTGAGCAACAAGAGACACACAATGCCGTCGGTATCGAAAGTATCCCTAAACAAATACATACTCCCAGATATTTTTATTCAACGACGATGCT